GGCCGAGAGTGGAGGGCGAATAGCGCAGGCCGGAGCGCCGGCGGAAGAGTGCGGAGTTCGCTGGGGCCGGTGTGGCGCGGAACTTACTTGTTTTCCAGGGAGCACCAACCGCAGTATGGATCTTTGGCGCCCAGGCACTCCCAGCAGGTCGTGTACACGCTGCACTCCTGAACTTTCACTTTGAACACCTGCAAAAGAGAAACAAATCTTTTAGAACAGAATTCCATACAATTGTACACATACTTTAAATTAACTCTACGTATACACCATATTATTATTCACATATTTCAGTTACCTTGTTAACTTTAAATTAAAAATGGCGCAATATGGACTACCCCAACCAATTTGATTAAGTAATTTAATCAAATTGGTAATTAAGTAATTTAATCAATTAAGTAATTTTCCACACCATATTAAAACCGAGGTTGACACAAAATATAAAATGTAAAACATTAATAAATACAATATACCGTATTCAAAATACTCCCCCTACTAACGTAACTGGATAATGCGCACAGAGAAAATTGAGTATTCACTTGGTGAAGGAAACTAGATATGCTTTACGGTTTCGCAAAATATTCAACTAGCTTTACTTTCCAAGGAAACCCATCCAACTGTCAACACCTGTTCACAAAACCTGATTCTGAGGCAAAGTAAGAATCTTATCTTGGCGGCAGAAATTAAGACCCCTCACATCAAGCAGCTGGCAAAACCTACAGCAGCTTCATATACTTCTAGGAATAGTATAGAATTTCGTCAACATTAAAAACAAAGTCTCGAGAGATAACACGTAAACACAGGTTCTGTGCACAAGCGTAAAACTACTGCAAGAACGCTCTGTACTGCAAGAAATATGAACTTCAGAGCACACTGTGCTTGGCAGCATTCGGTTACCGTCCATCACGTACTAACGAAGCGGAACAGCCCCAAGGGTTCGCGATTCTCGTTCCTCGCAAAGTAAGAGCGACGTTCTCCGTAAGGCGATGTACAACAACGCAGACGTTTCGCAGCATATTGCGGCCGTCGTCTCAATTAGATTGGCCCCCGCAAGGTTAATGGTATGCAGCAGCAGTCTCCGTGACGTCACAAGTCGCCCGAGGAGCAATGGGAGCAGGTCGCCCCGGTCTTGGCGTCCGCCTCCCCTTTAGAAATTATTTATAAAACAAATAACTATTTTTTTAAAGTATTGGTTCTTTTTATTCATTTTCGCCACACAGCAGTAAAAATTGTGACACTTTGAGAGCAAGTATAATCTGCGCACATTTGCTTGAGCTCCAGAATATCTCCTACTCCCTTTTAATATACTTTGTTAAATGCCGAATTAAAGCACCAACAAAGCGAGGCTAGCAACATTTTAAAACTATACATTTTTGCTCTGGAGGTATAGAAAACTTATTTGTATCGGCAAACGAACTACATACTCTATTTTTTAACGTTGTAAACAAAATAGCAACCGACAGCCCCGGCTCTAGTAATACAACTAGCAAAAAGAGATCCACAAAACTTACGCATAATGAAGCAATATTTAGTATTTGTGGACCTTACCCAAATTACCTAATACCTGAAAGGGGAAGGAATATTTTCAAATTTTGAAGTAGTTTTAGACGTTTATTACATCATTCATTCCCATTCATTCGTTATCCTATCCCAATTCCAAATTTCTCATTTGGCATTTACTTTTGAAAACTTCCTTTTCTAATGAAACTTTATTTTTAAGCATTCATGCAACTAAGCACTCTACCACTAGTTCCATTTACTGTTTACTGATAGAGAAGTTGTACTTTGCGGTACGTGTACGATCATACTTTGTGGTACGTGAATGCTAAAGTAGCTTGTCGCGGGACGTGTACCATAAAGTAAGTAAACATTGGGTACGGCAAAGTAAACAAAGCATTGGAGCAACAAGAATGAATATGACTGCCGATTCGTATATCGAGAACGATCCCAAGAGTAATATTTGTAAGTTTCCACGAGTCCGTATTAAAAATAAGTACGCGACATTTTTTTTAATTGGATTTATTTCGTCACCTACGAATGCCTCTTTAGAATATTCATTTCAATATATCATTTGGACGCTTATAACCCATTTAATGGGTAAGTTGTAGCCATTATGACTGCCAAATTAAGCAAGTAACGTGTTTACTCGAGAAGTTCACACAAGAACACAAAGACAAGTCAAGCGAGCCGCTTTATAGGAAAACTGGCAATTTTTTTTTCGCTACCTCCCCTTGACGCTATACTATCGAGAGCCAACGACCCTTTGAGCCGTGTACGTGGCCATTACACCAGCGAGTACGGCTCCGAAGCCTGGCTCTCGACAATCGCTAGCACGTTGTAAATTTGTTGCAACCGCCGCTGCCACCTGGTCAATTGTTAACATGAGTGACTGAAAATTCTCGCGAGCCACAGTAGCTGGGAACTTGCAGCTAGCACCCATCGCGAAGGAGTGCCCGGGGCAGCTAGAACAGAGGAGCTCGGAGCGCAGTGCCGGCTCGGGCCGGGCCAGGCCTGTAATTCACAAGCGTCGAGTCCGCAGTCGCCTTGTCTGCTTAGAAGGGCGGCAGTGAGGGCGGCGTCGCCCACTTGTCTAGAACGCTGCGCCGTCGAAATAACCTAGGCCCCCGCCGGGGCCTGGAGAGTGCGCACACGATTTGCACGTGGTTCCAGGGGCTCCCGAGTTCGTGCACGCCCACGCACGCCAAACGAAGCCTTATGCACGCTTTCATTTTTGCGCAGGCTTCCACACACCTCGAATGACAATTTCAACAAAACCTTACGAATACACTCGAGCGAAATTTTCCAAATTTATTTGTGAATAGTGGTATTGTTTTGAAGAATGTTTGGGGCGCTCAGAGTTTGGTAATTGGATGAGGCAACCAGTAAAACTATAAATAATAATAATAATAATAATGATAATAATAATAATAATAATAATAATAATAATAATAATAATAATAATTGAATGAAAATACATTTATATACTTTTCAAACACATTTTATTTTTTTAAAACGCCGATTTTCTAATAAAAACTTGTGTTCAAAAGAAGAGATTTTATGGCTTCTAAAAATAACAATTTGAGTTACCAGACTGAGGATAAAGCTTGTTCCTTTGTGTGAATTTAGAAGTCTACAATTATTTCATAACAAGCAACGAACGTCTTATTTCGTTATTGTGGTTATAATGAGCAGGTTACTGATTGGGTATCTTAACATTCCAACACGTTTTGTAAGGTGCAAACGTGCTAACAATTTCTTCTACAACCTCATTACTGAATTTTTCATGTATTATTCCCGCCCTTTAAACGAGTCAAATGGCTGAAAAAGCCTTTACAACGATACCTTAATGAGTTTATTTTCGTTTCTTGGGCTGCGCTTTCGTGCTCGTAAACATGTTAATTTCGCTCTGCGCACCAGCACCCTAGATTCCTGCGGCACCCGTTCTCATTTCAATTCACAGGGCGTTAAGGAGTAGTTTCACATTGGCACCGTTAAAAACCAACATATTTCATCAGTCAACGTCGGTTTTGCCTTCAGTTTCATTGCCGCTATATACTTCCATGCCGCTTATTAATATGATATGGACTTGACAAAAAACACTGCATCACCTTCCTGAATAGATACTTCAGAAGACGTCATGCGCAACGCCTTGACCTCAAAACAAACACGCCTCTTTACACTGACGTCGGTAAGTCTCATTTCCAATAGATACAATTCATATAACGGTAGACGTTCTACTAAGACTACCGCATTTAAGCCACATAATTTATTTTCACGGTAAAGTTGCATACAAATTCCTGTTTCCATAAAAGTCCTCCACGAAATATCCTTCTTACTTAAAAATGATTTAAGATATAAATTACTTATATTTTGTATTTTGTACACGTACAATACGCGGTAAGGCGAATTCAATCTGAAATAAGGGACCTCAAAGCTATTACACGCTACGGGGTTTTCTGCTATTGCACGACATGCACGTTGTCTGAAAGAAGTAAATTTAAGAATGGTTCATTACGAGTGACCAAGATTTTTCTATAAGACGGAAAGCAATATGTTTGGAGAGGTAAAGCTGAACTATTGCTGAAAATTGAAACACCGGAAAACATATTTCCCATTTTTTCCGAAATACTAATATGGCTTTGTAGAGAACCCTAGTATACGCAGTACCTTTCAAGACTGGCAGAGCCCCCTGAAATCCTGACTGCCCGGCAGAGTTCACAGTGGCGGTTCCGGTAGCGAGGCGCGAGGACTGCAATCGGCCAGGGCGCAAGAGCGACTGAGGGCGAGCGAGAGAGTGAGTGATAAAGATAATGTGGGTGGGCGAGTGTGTGATAAAGAGAGTGAGGGCAGGCGAGAGGGTGAGTGATAAAGTGAGTTAGGAAGGGAGGGATGGAGTGAGGGTGGGAGGAGGGAGCGAGAGCGTGAGTAAGTGAAAGAGGGCGGGCGAGCGAGAGAGAGAGCGGGGGGCGAGTGAAGGCGAGCGAGCGAGCGAGGGCGGGGGAGTGAAGGTCGAGAGCAAAGATAGAAGGCGAGGATGGAGCTGGCAGGGAGTAGAGGTGGGCGCGGGGGCGGGCAACGGCTCGGGTAACCAAGGGCCGAGGGTTCATGACTTATGGAGCGGCACAAGTCGCGACCGCAGGGCTCAGGAGCCGGTGTCCGCGCTCCCTTCCTCAACCCCCCCCCTAGCCACACGTCCTTTGCCTCCCGGTCGCGCCGATATTCCCTCGCGGATTTCTCCACTGGATGTCCTCCTCCCTTGCCTGCCCGCCTTCATGCATTCTTGCAGCTCGTCCCGCACTAATACTCTTCCACCAATCTTCATCCTTCATTTTGAATTCACTCCCAATTCGCCCGTTCGTTTTATCTCAGTCCACTGGTTACATCCTGCATTATGCCGCTATTTTTGTAACAAAATCGCTCCAACTGCAAGAACTTCCAATCTGTCACGTAGTTACATTTCTCATCTTGCCAGTAACGTCCCTTTGAACACTTGCCCTCCCTCCCTCCCTCAATCTCTCTCCCTCATTCTCTCTCTCTCTCTCTCTCTCTCTCTCTCTCTCTCTCTCTCTCATTCTTTAGGTCTCAGAGGTGTTCTAGTTTTCTACCGCTCTCTTGGCACCATCTCCCTCGCTTACTTATGACGTCAACGCCCCGTATGTACCTATGCTAATCCTCCTCCTCGCTTCCCCCG